CTCGTGCATGAGCAACATCAAGAGCGTTATCCCCAACCGCAATCAACACCTGCTTGGAAAAAGCAACCAGCCAGAAAGTAAAGAAATGTGTAACTGTCATGATAAAAACAAATGTCCGCTTGACAATAAATGTTTATCAACAAGTGTTGTATACAAAGCAGAAATCTCGACATGTGACGGCGAAGAAACGAAGGAGTATATTGGAATGACGGCGGGGACGTTCAAGAAGAGGCATGCCAACCATAAAAAATCACTAACTGTTCCTCGGTATTCAGCGGAAACAGAGTTATCAAAGTATGCGTGGAAACTCAAGAAAAGCGGGAAGCAATACAACATCAAGTGGAGCATACTAAAGCGTGCCCGTGCATATACGGCTGGTGCAGCAAGATGCAATCTGTGCCTTGAAGAGAAGGTTTGCTTACTGGAAGCTGACAAAAGCAGGATATTGAATAAACGCTCAGAAATATTCGCGAAATGCTGTCATAGAAATAGTTTTAGCGCGCGCAAATTTGAACGCACGCGAGATGCGTCAGCAAACCGTTAGTTTAGAGCACGTCATTGAATCAACTTCATTCGCCTGAAGATCGCTTTGAAAGAAGCGTGAAACACAGTGTAGCGACAAATATATTTTAAGATTAAAGAATATTATATTATATATATATATATATATATATATATATATATATATATATATATATATATATATATATATATATATATATATATATATATATATATAATATATATATATATATATATATATATATATATATATAGCGCAGAGCGCTATTTTTCACCGAAACGAGGCTTTAAATCTTGAAAATGAGGCGGAATACCTAGTTAATTGTCGGAATACAATTAAATTTTCAACTCAGCGCCCAAAACTTGACAAGGGTGCCCAGATTGAGCAAATTCTCCATTGCTTTTCGCTTCAATCGGGCAGATATCGGTTTTGCACCAAAACGAGGCTTTAATCGCGAAAACGAGGCTGAAGGCCCCGCCCACAGCCTGTATACCATCGATTTTCGAACTCAGCGCCCCCAAATTGACCAAATCCACTTGGTCTCATAAATTTCCCCGTCGGGGGACCATTCCCCCCTTCTCCGCCTGGTCTATTATGCTGTCATCCTCGTTATTATAAGTTCCAAAGTTTGACTTGAAATATGTATAAATCATGTCCTGTAGTGAGCTAATTTTAGTGTTAATATCAGTTATTTTGTTACTGGTATTTAAATTTGCTCTAAAATATTCATTAGCATTATCCCATTCGGTCGGTGTTTTAGGTAGCTTTATTCCTGGTTTAACGGGTATTCTCTGAAATGAATTATCTAGACATTGTGTCTCTTCATTCTCAACTGAATCTACTCCACTTGCTTGCCCTGGTGGCATGGGTGGATCCGAATCTTGTGCAAACAGTAGGTTTAAATCACGATTTGCATTAATGGACAGTGTCTTCGATGCGCTTGAGGGCCTTTAAAATTTTTGCATTTTTACCGCAATGGCATTCGGCATGTAACAGATCTTGATCGTCAATTTCTTGGTCATGATTAGTTGCAAAAGCCTCCAAATAATTATGATCGTGTTCGTTATTTAAGTTAACAAATGATAATTCAGGAAAGACAGCGCTGTTCCATTGTTCTTAGCTAGTACCAAAGGTAGTTCTAGGCGAGGCAGTCTTCTTCCTGCCATAGATCTTCCACCAGTACTTCCACCAAATATGTCATTCCAAGATCCTTCTTTATCCGATCAACTCGGATCTGGAATCTCCTCGCCGATTAACTAAAACTGGACACATGTGGCCTCTGTACATTTAAAACTGTCATTTTTAATTATTACTCTATGTCATTAAGAACTTGTTACAATGCCAACGATCCTCGGTACAAAACCATGTGTCCAATGTGTAACTCTGTTCGTAGTCTTCGTCTTCCAATCTAGTGCTGCATGTAAAAGACGTGTTGTTATTTTCATATGTTGTTTGTTATTAGTTAATTATTGTATTTGTTAAATTTGTAATATTAGTTTTAATATTGTACGGGCCGTACAATGCCCGTACGTTGTACTAAGCGTTGTTACGGACTCCCTGCCATTAATTGTATTATAGTTATTTACAAGGCAAAACTAATAAATTAAATTAACCAAATAGCCAGCACACATTAAATCCCAAATACCACTGTTTGCTTTCCCTTCGATATTTGTTTTCTTGTAATACTGCCATGCTGCTCTGCTTGGTTGATAATACTTTGTTGGACTCTTCAAATACATTGTCGAATTTTTTATCACAACACAATGATTTGTTCAAAACAATGCAATAGCACAAAAATAATAAAAGATCTTCGCACAGGATAAAAAGTAAGGTCTGGATCTAATAAAACCAATTTGTCGGAGCGTAAGATAGCACATCCTACGCCAATCTCGATGCCATAAGGTAGATGCCATAATGATGATATCATCATCATCATCATCATCATCATCATCATCATCATCATCATCATGCTGAGTTAAAACTGCAAGCATGAACTTCGGCAGTTCGCACATCAAGAGAGCAACTAACTTTATATATAGTCTTAATATAGTTATCAAGAGCAACCAAACCAAACCAACCAAACCAAACCAAACCAAACCAAACCAAACCAAACCAAACCAAACCAAACCAAACCAAACCAAACCAAACCAAACCAAACCAACTAAACCAACTAAACCAAGCAAACAAACCAAACCAACCAAACAAACCAAACCAACCAAACCAACCAAACCAAACCAACCAAACCAACCAAACCAACCAAACCAACCAACCAAACAAACCAAACAAATCAACCAGACCAAACACTAAATGTTCTTAACAAAGAAATGCACTACCACTTATACTTACTAGAAATACATGCATGTAGTAACCCGTCGCCAATATTGCCATACATTAAACATGAAGTATTCAGAAATGACCAGCACTGAACGCAGGCTTGCGCTCAAGTGTTGCCACGACAACACAATATTCTTAAACTTTTATTTTCATATATTTTGTGCAAAACTGCAAAATAGTTGAAAGATTCGTACTTTTAACTATACAACAATAAATTTTCGAAATATTCTGTAGGTATATTATTTTGCATTTTGTGAGCTTTGATTTAATGTAAAATTTGACTTGAAACGCTTCGTAAAATGTCTTGAAATGTTCATTCATATAAACTACATTTTTCCGATGAACTGTACGTTTTTACTTAACAAAACATGATAAGTTTAATACAAATAAAACAAATTGTTAGGTAATTTCAGTTCAGTCTTCAAGTCAATTTGTTCGCCTTTACATTTTAAGATTTTTTCCCAAATTAAAGGGTAATTTATGAAACTTAAAGCTTCTATAGTTCACGTTTTTTATTACACAAAAACTTAGAGCAACAAAATTCGTAAACATTTTAAAAATGTTTGTCATGTTACTCTGAGTGTATATCCACACCGGCCGAGCTTGAAAAATATGCCCGGCCACGGCGGGATGCGAACATACGACCTTTGGAATACTAGCCCAATGCTCTTCCAACTGAGCTACGCGGTCAGGACGGTTCGAGTAAGTGATATTTCGGAACAGAATCTATTTCCTTCGTTACCAATGTAATCTAGTGATATGTTTTTTTTTTCTGTGTTTACGTTGGTGTGTAGTACTAAGGTGAATATGATGTTTGTCATGTTATTCTGAGTGCATGTATATCCACATATATTAAACATATAATTGCTAATGATGCTTTAGCTGTCTTAATTTAATAAAGTCCTATGCTGTTAAGTTTAGTTGATAACTCTTGCAATATTTGTTGAATGACGGCTGCCATGTTATTTTCCTTGCCTAATTAGGGAAACTCTTCCATAAGGTATAGATGCCATAAATGAAAATGTTCGTTTCCCTCATAGATGTCTTATATAGACTATAGATAGCGCATCTCTTTTAGTAAAATTTGAGCCAAGAATATTCCAGCAGTTACCCCCATTTGAATAGATGGCGGCCATGTTGGAGTTTCCCACTCGGTAATAAACGCTTAAAAACAACAACAACTTTCATCATTTGAATAGTTTGAAAATGTATTTGGAATAGGTTTGACCTAATGTTTAAGTTCCCTGTTTAAGAAATACAAAACATACGAGTCTTCTCATTTCATGGGAATATCCTGAGTCTGCAATCACGGCTTCAAGTTTTGAATTGCAGAATAATTAGATGTACTATCTTGTGTATATAAAATATCTATGGTTTCTACGCGTTAGATCTTGCTTTGGGATGTGGACATTATTACTCGTAACCTGAGGCATGGTGCATGGACCACAGTTACTTTAATAGATGGTTTGGAGACTTGATAAATGTACAATATAACTCATTAATTATGTCATTCTCCAGCTTTATGTAAGAATTTGGTCCTATCTCGTCACGTGTGTATTGTATTTTCGCTGAAATAACCAATAACAAGTTTGTGGTTGAGTTATCCATCCGTAACTTGAACAAATGCTCAATTTAAACATTGCTATTGGTTGTGCGGAAAAAATATAGTACACACGTGATCGACGAGGCCCAAATTCTTGCATAAACCGAAACCAACATAGTTAATGAGTTATATTGTACTTTCATCGAGTCTCCAAACCATGTATTCCATTAACTGTGGGTGGACTGATATATATATATATATATATATATATATATATATATATATATATATATATATATATATATATATATATATATATATATATATATATATATATATAGATGCGCCGGGTTTTGCGATCACATCAGTTTTACTAAACGACCACTATATGACGAGTCTTTGTAGACTCCTAACAATATCTCACGGCTACTTGACATTACTATATTAGAAACAATCTTAGTACACAACAAGACGCTCGAAAAAGCGTTAACTTGCTGGGGCTATGGAACCTGTCCGTTGTTGCAAAACGGGGGGGGGCGAACCTCACGACGAAGGCGTGAGACCGTCCAGCGATATTCGAAGGTCGCGGGTTCAAGACCCAGGCGAGGCAGACTTTATCTTTCTCATGCTTATGCTGGGTATGGAAATTATGAAAGACACACTCGAGAACATTTTATATATATTTTATATATTCATTTATATATATAATACATTTTATATATTCATTTATATATATATATATATATATATATATATATATATATATATATATATATATATATATATATATATATATATATATATATATATATATATATATCGCCCACACATAGACTAAGCAATTTTGTCGATTTGATTTTAAAACCATTATGCCAACATGTACCAAGTTTTATACGGGACAGTATGGATTTTCTGAACAAAATACCTACAAATATAAACGAGAAAACGATATTGGTATCATTCGACGTCATCATCTTGTATACAAGTATCCCACATGATCTTGGACTCACAGCAATCGAACATTGGTTGGACAAACACCGTGAATCATTGCCACGACCGTTCCCTAAAGAATTTATTTTGGAGGCCATTTCAATTGTCCTAAAGGAGAATACATTTCAATTTGATGACATTAATTATAAGCAAATACAAGGAACAGCAATGGGCACTAAAATGGCACCAACGTACGCCACATTAACTATGGGTTTCATTGAGACACAACTGTACGAAAGGTTCAAGGAAAAGTATGGACAGGACGAAAAAGAAAACTTCGTGAAATTGTTTAAACGTTTCTTAGACGACTGCTTTCTACCCTGGCAGAAGACAGAAGCAGAGCTCGAGGAACTTCATAAAATGTTAAATTCACTTCATCCAAAAATACAGTTCACGATGGAATATGACAATAAGAAACTACCGTTTCTGGATATACTACTCTACAAGAACGCGGAACGGTTAGAAAGTGATATACATTACAAACAAACGGACACACACCAATATCTGGATTATCATTCATGTCATCCTGGACATACAAAATCAAACATTCCCTACACACTGGCAAGACGGATCTGTGCAATTGTAACAAATCAAGATTTAAAGAAGAAGCGTCTTGATGAACTAGAATATTTCCTACAAAAGCAGAACTATCCGAAATTGCTTATAAAAAACGGAATACAGAAGGCTTCATCAAAAAACATTGAGGAATTGAGGGCACCAAAACATAAAACTGATGACAATGTCTTGCCTTTAGTAATAACTCATAATCCCAACAATCCTCAAGTAATTGGAAAAATAAGGGAGAACTTTAAATTTCTAAACAATTCCGAGAAAATGAAACGAGTATTAGACAGAACAAAACTCATTGTAAGCAAACGCCAACCGAAGAACTTGAAGCGATACTTGACAAAAGCACAATTCAATTCAGAGGACAGAGAACACTGTGTAACAAAATGCGAGGAAAAGCGATGTGGAACATGCGATGTTTTAATCACAGGAAAGTCTGTTACATTAAAGAGCGGAAAAACCTGGAAAGTCAATTCAACGATGAACTGCAAAGCGAGATATGTCATTTACGTGATCATTTGCTCAAAATGCGACAGCTTCTACGTCGGCCAGACAGAAAACTTACGAAAAAGAGTGACATTGCACAAGGAACAAATTCGACACGAAGAGTATAGACATCTAAAAGTAAGCGAACACTTAAATATATGTAACAACGGAATTTTCAAAATAATGCCTATATATCAATGCATTAACACGGACAGACTTTTTAGGGAGATGAAAGAAAAAGAACTTATCAATATACTGAATCCGGATCTGAACGCTAATTAAAAAACCATTAAGTTTATGCTTACATTTAGATCAATAGAATGTTTTTAACGGGTGACTTCACACCATGTAAATATATGCATTCCTAACATAGTTATTATAATATGATATCATAGAACGTAGATAATAGATAAACCAAATTCCACTCATTGTAAATATGCACCTGAGGAGCTAACATTAAAGCGAAAACGTTTGTGCAAAATTTGAGTGGCTTTTATTTTATTTTACGTTATAAATGTCTCTTTTGGTTGCACATTGAAACCTTTTCTATATACAACACTTGTATCTTGTTATCAGCAACATTTCACTATATATAAATATATATATATATATATATATATATATATATATATATATATATATATATATATATATATATATATATATATATATATATATATATATATATGTAAGGCCTATATTGTTCAAAATGAAGAAATTAAATTTAATAAATTTTAAAAAAATTAAAACTTTTTATTTTTAATTTTTTTCATTTTGAACAATTTATTAAGCTTTGCGAACTTTCCGCATTGAGCACTGTACCCGTTTTGGCTCTAACAACCAATTAATCCTGCACTATATGATGGGCAAGTATAAAAATTTCACACCATATAAACATGTAAAAACAACCACAATATAAATTACAAGTATTAAAAACTGGCAGTCTGGCAATAAAACCACAAAGGCCAGTGCTGACACAAAACAACATAATTTCATGCACACAGTATCTAATCATTAACAATATTTTTATGTCTGCTATTGAAATGTTCGCTGTATATATTAGGATGATGAGTTTTTGACATATGAGTGATATATATGACCATGCAAGTACCTAGAAAGTCAAAAAAAGTTTCGTGAATCTTACCTGAAAGAATTAGTCTTTCTTTGCAGTGAAGTGCTGCATCCACAAACGAAGCAAACCCGCATCTTTCCTCCGCGTTGTAAAACAAGTAATGTGCGATGGAAATATT